GGACAGTGCCCACGTCCTCCGTCGTGGCATTTGTTAATATTTTTTTGTCATATGGTTGGTATATTATAGGCGTTGTGCCAGTATTAAAGTCGAAAGCGGTGGTCACTTTATTATGGAGGCACCTAATAGGTGGGCCACTGTTGCCTTTTATGAAGGGTCAGATAATTTACATCCATGTCTTATCCAGGATACGAGCCTAGACCCTTCGGTACGGCACATTAACATATAAAAGTGTTCCTCTCTTTTGAGTAAAAATACATAAAATTTAATAATTTGAGTAAATTAGTAATTTAATTGTGGGATCGTTTATAAATTGCTATTTTTAAATGACTGATTTGCATTAGAAACCATTTTCCTTTACGTACGCGTTGCATCATGCCCCATATTAGAGTATAATATTAAACTGAAATTGACAAAGCGAAATATATTATAATTTATGCATTTATATTTAGAAACTAAAGGTATCATATAGTGTAGTGTTTATGTGGTATGGTATATTATGTGAGGTATAGTGGTTTGTAAATCCTATCATACGAGATTAATGTGCATTTATAAGTGATGCATATGCATGTACGTTCATAGAGAATAAATCTTGTGTTATACTAACAGTATCTAATTTAACAGTATCTCTTTGCATAAAAAGCATATTGACTGCATGAAAATCTATGTGCTTAAAATTAGGATATATATATTCATTATATTACATAGAAAGCATATATGCATTATAGTATCTCATTAAACGAAAGTGAATAGCACCAGGTTTTATCAAAATATGTAAATACTTAACGCTTCTTGTTCTGAAAGCATATATATCCACGATAGTATGCGATATCCTACACAGATGGTACAATGAGAAAACACGAAAAGAATATGGTAATGGGCTGATATGGACTATGGAATGTGAATAGAATATACTACTTTAAAAGATGGAGATAACTAGACTCACATTTATGAAGAGGAGTTGTTGAGAGGAGTTTTAAGAATTTATAAGGATAGTGGATTTATGGCGAGGGATTTCTGCAATGTAAAATTTCAGCAAGAGTATAATGACGAGCAGAATATAAAATTATATAATGATGCTTTATAGCCAGCGTAGTAACGCTTCGTGGCGTTAATGAAAGTTGTAAAAAGTTCCTAAGGCAATAAAATCTGATTCTGCGAAAGGAAGTTTCAGCATGGTCGGTAATAAGAGGATTGCTGAGCGTCTGCACGTTGTAGCCCTTCAATATTTTCTTAAAATAACTCTCAGTGTATTCGTGTGTCATTGAATATAATGATACTCACAGACATCCATTACGTCACTATTCGTGGACCTGAGATATCTTGTCGATAAGGAAATGTAGAAGAATAAATGCAAGAAGTTTCTGTAAGATACTGGGAGCTTTGCCCTTTATCTAATTAAGTCTATGATGGAATAAAATGTTAAGTTAATAAACAAACAAACCTGCTCAGCTAAAAATGTAGTATATCTGTAATGGTGAGATTGTTATGACAGTCTTCGATCTTATGCAGCTAAATATCCTAATAATAGTAGAAAACTCTGAATTATCAGTTTAGAGTTTGGGATAGGAAATGATAAAAAATATAATGTTAATATTGCTATCAAATTTCTAACTGTTAAAGAAAAAGTCGTTGCAAATTATGGTCCTTCTTTTTAAAATGTATTCCCAATTGTTTATTATTTTATCACAAAATATTTGTCATTTTGTCATGGAACATATTTTTAAAACGCTCTTGTGGACTTGCAATTCGATATTTGTCCTTAAATCTGTTTGTTAATTACTGAGGAAAGTTACTTGAGTGCAAATTTGCAGCAGTTTGGCAGAAGTTTAATATTATTAAATTGGCGGTTATTTGGCAATATTTGGCAGCTGCAAAACCGCAAATGAACAAGATAGGAAATAATGATCAGATAAGATAAGAAAGCCTGGACAAGAATAAGCAAGTAGTGCCATCTGTTGGTGAAATTAAAACTAAAACATAATTTCTTTAAAGGCCGAAGGCAAAGCTGGATTGGAATTAGGATCGTTAACTAGAACAGAAAGATTTTTATGAATGTGAAATGCCTCTAGAAAATCCAGTTCTCCAATGGAAGATGTTTTTTGAATAATTTTGGCAGCAGAAAAATTGAAAGTGTGATTTTTCGGAGCAACAATGTTGAGCAACAGAAGACTTCTGTGTTTCCGTTTTTCTAACATATGCCTCATGTTCCTTGACGCGAAATTTTAAGGCTCTCTTAGTTTGGCCAATGTAAATTAAACCACACTGGCAAGGAATCCTATAAATACCCCAGGAATTCATATCAGGAATGGGGTCCTTGAGTATGGAACTCGGAATTTTATTGATGGAAGAATAAACAACCCGAAAGTTAAATTTCTGCAACATATGTCCAACTTTATAGCTAACTGATGGAAAGATGGGAATGACAACAGAGTTTTTATAATCTTCTAAAACAAGAGTGTGCCTTTTAGTGTGTTGAGATGAGAATTTTTTAACTGCTTGATTAATAATGTTGGGTGAAAAGCCCCTGTCAATAGCTATTGCTTTTAAACAATTTAGTTCTTCATCAAGGGCTAGTTTGGAGGAGCAAACTTGAAGAGCACGGAAAACATAGGTATAAAATGAAGCTAACTTTTGTTTAGTCGGATGACATGATTTAAAGTGTGGTGGAAGGCAAACCGATGAAGGTTTACGGTAAACCGTAGTACTGAAGTTGGATGTATTACTTGTAACCAGAATGTCGAGAAACGGAAGAGAATTGCAAGTCTCAAGTTCAAAAGTGAACTGAATACCAGGATCAATAGAATTCATTGTTGAAAGAACTTTATTTAAATCATCTTTATTACCTTCACACAGGGTAAAAGTATCGTCTACGTACTTCCCGGAATCATGCCGGGAAGTTTCAAACAATTTTGATTCATAATAATGCATTTATTCCTAAGGAAATAATGCATATTACTATTGGCAACTTCAATGATATTTTCCCTGCTTCGAGACGTCAAGCTGCTCGACCGACCACATTCATACTCAGATGATGTCTTACAGGCATTCTGTAAATACTTGCAGTGAAGAATTAAAACGTACAGTAATAGTTTCAGAAACCGACAACGTCAGACAGACAAAGTAGACAAACGTCTTGTTTTGCGCCCGCGAAGTCTTTCTGCCTATAGGGCGAAATCAGTCTTAGGTACGAAGGAAATTTATATACACAGAGTGCAATTCCTAAGGTAATAACGCGAGTGCATTGCCTTTTACACAGATAAGAGATCTTATGCTACGATGTTCTTTACACTAATTTTTCCTGCAGATCTCAGGATCGAAAAATTTGTACATATCAGTAGTTTTTTAGCTATTGCCAAGCAGTATATTTAATTATGGTCCCACTGTATTATTAATAGAAGTTTAGGGTTAATCCTAATATACATAATATTCTAAGCACTAAGGTATAAATTCAGAGAAGGTGGTATAATATTTTTAATCATCATTAATAATTTGATTGATAAAACTCCTACATTTTTCATACTTCTAATTTTCTGTTTCACTTCTTTACCTTAGTCAAGTTTTGGCAAATTTACACAAGAGATTTACTACGAATTTTTGCCATATGAAAATCTATTTTGAAGAGAAGTTTTTGCTTTTTGTTCTAGCTTTCTTTCTTTGAGCTTTTGAGTAAGTAGATAATAAATTTTACGTTTTTCTTTTCTTCACCTTTTAATAAAATTAAACTACACCAGAAAATGCAATAGATTTCTGTTAACTAAATAACTAAGCAAGTAATTAAATCAAAAGGGAATTTAGTCTTTTTTTTTAACGAATAAGGTTTAGCTTCAACATCTGATTTTAAAAGTAATTCTCACAAAACAGTAACGGAAATTTCTAGAATGTTTTGTTTACAGTTAATCAAATCTAACTCTTTCGTATCTACGTTTTCCTTACAGCTTTCCATTTTATAATTAAGTTGCATATTGGAGAGAATATGGCAGACGTGAGATCTAAGACATGAATTGCTTAACCAGGTAAAATTTAAAAAACGTATTTTAACTGAAATGTTTAAAGGTAAAAAGGTTTTTAAGGTTTTTGAAAGGTACTCATAATAAAAATTCAAAGCAAAATTTTTGCATTATTTTATTTAATATGGTTTTTTTCTTAAGGTTTCGTTTAGTTCTTTAACCAGTTGTTTTATATGAAACCTCTTTCCTATCCTTCTTATATCCATTCCCTGAAACAATGTAAATTTCTAGCTCGTGTGATGTTCAAGTTAATTAGAAAGAAGATAGTATTTAAAGGAAGGTTTTAAAGGATAGAATTAGAGTGTGTTCTGCCTGCTGAAGGCCACGTTGCTAATTTCATTTCTCCTAAGAGAAGTATTCTGCGGCGTTGCGTTATTCTCGCCATTAGACTTGTCACGTCGACTTTTGGAGCAGACCAACTTGCTCATTACTTTTAAATGTGTAACCGTTAGGCTAATTTATTTTTCTTAGTTAAATAAATTTCAGTATCTTTGATTTAGATCATAATTGCTGGCTATAGTCTGCAAGCACGAAGGGGGCTGTCTGTTAATTTTTATTCGATAAATAAATAATAAAGGGTCCTTTGCACACTTTCTCTGTATCAGTGGCACCTTTAGAAGACATACTGATAATTCACTTTGTCTTTAAACGTTTCGTACATTGTGTGTTTCAAAAGAAAACAATACGCTATGGTTTCACTACATGTTTATGTAAGGCAGATAGCTGTCGTATGCTTGAATATAATCCACATAAACCTGTTCTGCTTGTGAATTAAATCTTAAAATCCCCCTATATAACTGAACCGATTTTCTCGAGAATTTATACATGTATGTATTTAAGATAATAGTACAGTGTACTACAGGAATGTTTTCAAAATTTGAAGAAGATTTTTTTAAAATTTAGTTTATTCAGTTTAGATGTTATATCTGTGAGAAAATACAGATCGGATAACGATTATTATCTTCCAATTCTTTATAACTTTCGTTTCAGGATTCCAAAAACTGCTTTATTGGCGAAAGGAATTCTACAAACCGTTGATGTACTTTCCCCTGCTGAGCCATCTAAACATCGGAATGGAGCAATAAGATTCCATGTTCGCTATCAAGTTCATTAGTCAGCAATCAATTATGTTATAACGACTTGCGAGATATCTCTTATATTTGTAAATGTTTACCATATTTTAACAATTAAGAAATATAAATGAATGGTTATTTTAAGATATTTTTTGTTCGTGGTACCTAATCGGGCTGGCGAGCACATACAAAACGATCGGCGAGCACAAGGTTGGGCACCGCTGATTTAACTGAACGAAACATTGTCTTCCAAATTAACGCTTTTGGGAATTTTAAACTTAATTTGCCGAAATTTGGCATGATTTCAAAAGTATTTGTTTTTTAGCAATAATAAAGTTTCTGAAAAGAAGGATTTATATTGTATCAAAATATTTCATCCTTCAGTTTTATCATAGAATGCCCATGATTTTAAGTGATGATGAAACCGATATTTTTAATAAAATATAAATTTAAATGAACTGAGTTTAATAATAAAGCACATTAGAAAAATTAGTTTTTTTTGTGCATTGAAAAGCAATTATTTTCAATATTTATTGCTTTCTGTAGTCTGTAGACTATAAGGTATTAAATAATATATGTGCTTAAACTTTTTAATTTTCATGGCTTTGATCAAATGCCATAAAAGTGTAAAAATATTTTAAAGTTGTCTTAACATTATTGAGCATATGGGATAAAATTAAAATCATAGGATTCCCATGTATGAATTAAATTAGGATATTAACGCAATTTTAAGGTATAATAGAAATCATAGAATAGAGATAATATAGCTAAGAATGGCTATATTCAATTCATTTAAATTTCTCTTTGCCAGATTGAATTTGAAATACACAATCTTAGATGCTATTAGATGCACCATATTAAATATTAGATGCTGAGTGATTGAGTTTCCTGATTAAGAATATTATAATAGTTAAAAGATTATTTTTTTTACTGTTTAGCGTATCTGATTAACATCGTGTAATTTAAAATTGATTTTTATAAACTTCATACATAAAGAACTTGTAAAATAATTATGAACTACTCGTTATGTTACAAGAATCTGGATTTTATTTTTGTTCGGTTTACTTATTAAAGGTAAGAAAATATGTTTCACATTATAAGCATTAAATTCTTTTTCCTAAAGTCACTTTTGTTGCCTTGGTTACCATCATCAAAGGACTGGTTCTTGTTACCTTTGTCGCGTTTTAAAATAAAGGTAGTAATTTTTCCTTCCATTATTAAGTGGGAAGAAGGATTAAAATTTTGGGTGTATCTACGGACGTTTTAAAAGTTTTTTTAATGTCTTTGGGTAATAAGTATACTCTGCTTGTTATTATTAAATGTTGCTTTAATATTCAAAGAATATTTAGAAGCTTATAATGGAAAATTAATCATGGCACATGCCAAAAGAAAATATTAAAACATCACTTTTTAAAATTTGTTTTAGACTGCTAAGAATTTCAATAAAACACTATGAGCGTTTTGGTTTTCAGATTTTGCTTTAGAATATCTTAAAATTAAGTACATAAAACTTAATTAATGTTTCGATATAATGATATTTTATTTTTGTCTAGTAACTGTTAGAAAGATATTAGGAAAAAATTGGCTACAAATTTTATTTTTTCTCAATCTGTTATTCCATTAATAAACTCTCAAAATAAGACAGAATTTTATGAAAACAGGTTTAGTACTAGGAGTAGATAGGAATGTTAAATATAAAAAATAACTTTTTTTTTTTTTTTTTTTTTTTTTTTTTTTTTTTGTGATCGATGAGGCATAATGTCTAGTTAGCTAAATGTTCATTCTGTTTTCCTCAGTTAAATACAGAAAATTCATTACCTTTAAGTGAAAATTTCACGAAGATTTGAGACAGCGTAACCGCGTTAGATAACTTTTAAATAAATATTACAAACAAATATAAATAATTTTCACTCAGATTAAGGGAGAAATCACAAAACAAAAACTGCTAGCTGTAGCTGGAAACATAAAACTGCTAGCTATAACTATATCCATCAAAATTTTACAAAATGCATGGAACGTTTCATATTGTTGCGTGCGTACGGGTTCGTTAGGAAACGAATGCACAAGTCCGATGAAAAATGAACAGGATTTATTATTATCACAAATAAATAAAACAAAATACTTAAATTTTCTCAGATATTCGTACAGTATTACAATATCTTACAGTAGTTATGTTTAACCCTTTAACTGCCATGCCCGAAATAATCTCGGGGACAGCACTGGTATTCCAAAATGTCACACCCGAATATTACTCGGGCTAATTTTTTTTGACTGCATCGTATTGATATACCCGAATATATATTGTGAGAAATTTATTTCATCTTCAGTTCAACAGATGGCAGCATTTTACTGAAGGTTACAAAGGATAGAGGTTAAAGTTCAAAGTGAGCGGCATTTTTTTGATTGCAAGGCAAACATTTCATTTTTGGAATAAAAACAAAATGACAATTTATGCATCCAAATCATCAAAATAACTTGACAATTAAAAGGTCTACTCACACGTTCAACAAAACGTAATTCAAAACAGCTAAAGAAAGCTAATCCGCGAATTTGCTACAGTTTTCTAAACAAACTCTTAAAACAACAATAATCTAACTAACAACAATAACAAATTGAGAGGTTTTCATGCCACTTATATAAGCTTTTTAAATGCGCGAGATTTTTCTAGCAATTTCTCGAAATCAAAAAGAGATATTTATTTATTAAATTTTAAATGCACGTGCTCTTGTATTTCTAATTTTCCGGCTTAACCTTCCTTTAATATTCGTCACGCGCTTCACTGCACGGGGAATAAAACAATTTAATTTATAATTCAACTAACGTTAGCTATTCAAATACCAAATCCGCAACAATATTTAGCGTAACAAAGCACAGTGAGAATTTTACTAACTGTAATTCTGGCTATTGCAGGAATCATATAAAATGTGAATTTCAGTCTGTTCTATCTCTGTTGTTGAAACTATTTTTATGAAATTCTCAACCTTGTTTTGAGAAATTTTGTAACTGAGTACACAAATCTATGATAATTATTAAAAAATAAAAGTCTATAGCTGCATCTTTCGAACATCCTGTATATTTGATATGGTAAAAAATTACATTATTATTATGCATTCAATGCAAATTACTTTAGAAATGATTTTATAGTCTGTTAAGTAAAGTACGAGTAGGACTACATTTTTATAAAACATATATATAAAAAAGAAATTTAGAACCAATTTTTCACAAAGACTAAAAAGTGAAATTCAAATGAACGTCATAAAATTCTATATATGTAGAATAAGAAAATTTTAAAATATAAAAATTAAAATAAACCATCACAAGAAAAACAAAACAAAACAAAAAAGATTATAAAAGAACCTGAAAGCGAGGAATCCAATCAACTTCGACATAACGTCGTCAGGTTGAGCTATGTCGAAATTAATTACAGTTCTCCTTTCAAAACAAATTCCTTACTTTTCTTTATCAAGAATTAGCTGATGAAATATTTCAATCCTTCCATATCAAAATTCCTGCTTTTCTGTATCGAGAATTAGCTGATGAAGTATTTCAATATATTTGATAATATAATTTGATTTAATAATGAATCCGAATATTCAGTGCTAATTTCAGATGATTATAAAAAGCAGCATTTAGAGTAACTTTCAGCAGCAAAAGATTTTTAATCTAAAACATATCTCTTTTTGACGGTCATAATTTGAGACATAACTTGACCAACTATTGCTGTTTAATGGCAATGGTTGGGTCAACAATAGTTGATGCAACGGCAACAGTTAGCAAAAATTAGTTGTTCCTAAAATTATATTTATTTGGGAAGCGTAATGCCTTGCAATATAATACTGTTCTAAAATATTTAAAAATTCATTTTATTTTATTTTAAATCTTCACTAACATTCTTGCATTTGTTAATGTAGCTGAAGTTCCTAAAAATGAAGATTTAAAAAACAATAAACTAAAATGTTGTCTTGTTGTCTTTTAAAAATAATCAAGTAATTAGAAGATATATATATATATATATATATATATATATATATATATATATATATATATTGTATTCTGTTTTTGCTTCTGGCATTCAAAATGTCACCTGAAACTTCATTTTATGGTTTTAACAGATTATTTTTAAGTTCAGACCTGAATGCAAAGCTTTTTTCAAATCAAAGCAAGAAAAGTTTAATTTATTAAAACATGAGATAGGCATTTAAACTGTGATTATGTTTCTTTTTAGTATTACAGAAAAGAAAACTAGATTTGTAATTTATTTTTCAGTGTGTGATTAAATTTTCTTTAAAAAAAACTACACGTTGATTCTGTTTCACAATAAAAGAAAGTAAAATTTTCAAAAAAATTTGAAATTAAATAAAAGGAATTTTTATCCCCCACTAAAAAAATAAACTGAAGCTGTAACGGTGCTTGAATGTACTGAAAACAAACTGTATTTGCTTGTGTTTTAAATATTTAATGTTCTCTCAAGTTTTATGAGAAAAATGCCTAAAATTCGTAACTTTGAAAAATAAAACTTCTTCTGTGTATCATTTTACTATTAAAAAAGGATTTATTTGTTAACTATCATAACTCCTTTTCATTCATGGATAAAATTGACAGCAGTTAAAAAAAGCCTAATCTGATGTACAATGGAATATTTTTAATCCTTACTTTAATACTCTATTTACGTTTTCCGTATTATTTTAAACAATTGTTCTGTTAATTGAAAGTATTATATTTCCAACTAAATTACTTTTATAAATCGAATTTACATTAAACAAATTTTTATATTACTTCAAGTAACGTTAATTAAATTTTTTATCATTTCTGTATTCTTTTAATGAGAAAAAAGTTTTTTTTTAATACTGAAAATGATAAAATGGAATTTAATTTTTCAGCCTCTTCTTTGTAAGAGTATTTTTTATTTTTTCAATGTATTATACTAAAAATTAAATAGAAGTTATAAGACATAATTGCAAATAATAATGCCACACTAATGTTAGTTATGCATCACTGCTAATGAACCACTAATGATATTTATCGACCATTAATGTAAGTTTAATAATGCACAACTAATATTAGTTTAAAAATGCCCCACTAATGTTAGCTATTGACCCTTTGTAATAGAGCAAGAATGTTCAAAGATTATGCTTCCTATTTTGAAAGGGTTT